GCATGCACGCCCCCGAGCCGATCACTCCCATGCGAGCTAGCATCCCTCAGAGCCACTGGCACTGAGATCACACTGCTTTGTTCAAGTCTCACGATTTTTATGCTGCTTTGAACGAGTGTCATGGTTTTTATACATATGTATGGATTGTGAAGGGAGTGATAGCTCTGAATAGCAGAACACAGGGCATGAAAAGTTATTTGCTGATCTGTGAGAGTTCATCCAGAATTGTTTATTTTCAAGTTCAGCTGCCTAGGATATGAAACCTCTTGGTTGCCCTGCCGTGGGTCAGTGCTTTTCCTATTGATCTGCAGTGCTCTAATGCAAGGGGAGGAAGGGATACAGTGCTCTGCAGGAATGATCAGGCTCCTGGAATGCCAGTGTGGAGCCAGGGCAGCACCCTGTTTGTGTGAGCCTTCTTGTTTCTTGTGTTCATGAATAATTCAGAAACCCCACACACTGGAAGTGGATAGGGGAGCACAGTGAACTTTGGTATGCACTTGCACGTTGGTACCCACACATGGTCAGGCTCTGCAGGCAGAAATTAAAATTAGCACTGAGTGCTGCAGATGAGATGGACTGCCAGGATGAATCTGTTCATGGCTTCTCTTGAGGTGCCCTTGGAGAATGTGGTGCTGCTCTTGCCATGCTGCTTGGCCAGTAATTTTGGACAGAAAGCATCAAAAAGAAATAAAACATCTTAACAGCTTGATTCATGCCATTAAGCTGTTAAAGCACTCAATATGCTTCATTTTCCAAATGGTAATTGAAATTCCTCTGTATTTCACCAGGTTAGAATTTCTGTTTGGAGGATTCACAACACAGCATAAGATTACTTGGAATTTTTTTTTTCCTCTTTAAAGTATACAAGTTAGTTTTGAGTCATTTAATGGAAATACTAAATAATCCCTGTCCTGCAAGGCAGGAGACTGGGAATATATTAATCTGGCCAGAGAAGTTGAGTAATTTATTTGCATGACTGACTGACTCTCCCTACTGAGGACTGAGCATATGCTTATTATCAAGGTATTTTATTAGCCCTAGGCATGGTTTGAGAAGCAAAAAGCCAGAAATGTTTGAAAAATAGGCTGGGGGTCATACCTAAGTGCTGTTTTAAAGGTGGTATTTTGAAAGGAACTTGTTATTCCTGATACTAGAATTCAGAATCTAAGGGCTGTGGCAGCAAATACAATTCCCTTGGCTATGAACAACGACTGCAATGGGTTTAAAATAGTCTGACTTCTGAATTGCTTTCATGTCTTCACACTCAGCTGAAATACTAGCAAGGATAAAAGTGGAATAAATCCTGTTATTTTGACTCTACTCTGAGCATGAGTTGCTAAGGGAAGCAGTTGGAAAAGCAGCTTTATTACAGTGCTATTTTGGTTGAAATTATGCTTGTCAGTGCTCTTGCTGTTAACATGCATTAAGAAAGTTAAATTTGTGGTTCAAGCTGCTTCACCAGACTGTGTTTTTCTTGATGCACAATGCAGCTTCTAATGGATCAGAGTACACAAATGTTGCAGAGGCTGGTGGGAAATGTAAAGGTACATTATTGAGGAACTGCAGAATTGCAGGCTCGAAATCACTTTTTGTGAGATCTGCACACAGGTGTCTCAGCCACAGAGGTGTTGTGACTTCATGTCAAGCCCAGCTTCAGAGTTTTGGGGATGAGCACATCTGTGCTTTTGCCTCGTGCTCAGTGTCAGTCTCCACACACCCTGTGTGTTAAATGTGACAGTGTCATGTCCTTGCAACACCATTCCTGGGTACACTTAGTGCTACAGCAGCAGCATTTCACTCCTGCATGGAGCCCTTCAGGATTTTCTGCAGCTGCTTCTCTTTTGAAGAACTAATTGTCTTTGATTGTATCTGTACAGTGAAATTGGAACACTCAGACAAAGGTGTAGAATATCTGATTTTATTTGTGAAGAGAGACCTATCTGTCCAGGTTTCACCACAATGCTGTCATACAAGGGAGGAGCAATATTTTATAATAAACTCTGCTTTATCAGCCTGCTGGAGGAACACTGCATAATGCAGTTCAGTTATTTCCTGTCTGCAGAGCTGGATTTGAGACAAAATTTCTGGTTCAAAACACTTCAATAACACAGCAAAATCCCTTCAGTTCTCTTGGAAAATAAAAGCAGTGTTTGATCTTTCTTTAATTTTCTCGTGCTCCTTGAACAGCTCCAGTCTTGGCCATGCACGTGCTGCTCTTACTCACGTGGCTCTTGCTGTGTTGTACCACAAATTACAGGTTTTCTTCATGTGCTGTGTTGGTTTGTGGTGAAAGATCTGTCAGTGTCCTGTAGCTTTTAGCAGCTTTTTCCTGCCCTCTCTGCACTGTGAAAGTGCAGTTTGTCCCTCGTGGAAGACACAGCCATGCTTGAATCAGTTTGAATTTTTTGATCCATGGTTTGGATCACCTTTTATTCCAACCAGGCTGTGCTGTGAAATGGTGCATTACAAGGATGTATTAGCAGTGGGACATAAAGAAATAAAAGCTGATTTAAGAGCCCAGTAAATTTGACTGTGAACAGTTTTCTGTGTGTATGTTCTTTAAGGAGAAAGAATCCTGAGTCGCTGCTAATCTCTTGGAAACCTTCAAGTACTTTTCTGTGAGCATTCAGCTTGCCAGCTTCTGGGCAGATAATTATTTAATTCTCTTCCAAATTGAACACATTCAATTCAGTCTTGCCATTTAAAACAACATATTCTTCTCGGGCATTTTTTTGTTCACCGTTCAGGAGCAGGTAAGGCTCTGAATTGCAAATGTTCACAGGGCAAACATGAAGTGTTTGGTGTACTAAGATGAGAAAAGTGTCAGTATGTGCAATGAAGGTGACTTGCAAAGGCTTTGGCATAAAGGGGGCTGTTCAGATGGGGAAAACTTGTCATCCAAAGGTAAAAAAGACCTCGAAAAAAGTGAGAAAGGTAGGTATCTAGTAGGTATCTATTTATTAGATACCTACTGCTCTTGCTCTCCTGACTATGAAATAATTGTAACGTAAGGTTACAGAATAAAAGCATTAAATGAAACTTATTAGATACCTACTGCTCTTGCTCTCCTGACTATGAAATAATTGTAACATAAGGTCCTCAAAATAAAAGCATTAAATGAAGGAATCTGAAAATGAGAAATGCTTCCAAATTCTGCTTCTTCTAGAAATGTTTTCTTTTTCTGACTTCATCTACAGTCATTGCAGTTCAAATAGGGATTAATTTATAAAGAATGCTGACACTTTTTCAGGGAGAGGGCTGAGATACTTGTGAGCAACTAAAATGTACAGCCTTCTGTCCAGAACAAGAGCCTTGTAAAAGAAATAAAGTTTCTTTGCCATACCAACAGGGCAAAAGAAACTTCTTATTCCATGTTAATAGGAGCCATCCTTGCTTTGTCTCGGAGCTGTGAAGCATTTTCTCCCCCAGTGCTGACTATTGTGTTACAGCAGCAATGCTCTGTCCCTGCTGTTGTGCACACATCTCTGAGCCCAGGAATGATTGCTGCTCTTCAGTCAAACCCAGCCAGCTGTGCTCAGATGAGCTCTGGAGCAGGGAATGTGTGTGACCCCTTCCCTGGCTGCACTTCTGCTGCCTTACACAGCAGCTTTATCAACTCAGGACACTCATGCTGCAAAAATGGTTTAAAAATGTGCACAAGGGAAAAAAGCTGACACTGTTTTAGTGCCTTACACCACTGTCACCATAGAAACACTGCCTTCAAACTAGGTTTGAACACTGGTAATAAACTGAAGTATTTTAATTGTTCTAAAGGGAGAATTAAGAGACCTTTTCTGTTCCAGCCCCACCATTGCATACTTTGTGCAGCTGCTGCTTGTTTTGTTCCCCACCCTCTCCCTGTTGGTGCTGCAGCTGTTGTCAGAGTAGTTGAAATATCCTAAAATGACAGAGTGGATATTTAACCTCTTTTAAAGATTTGTTTCATGATGCTCTCTCAGATTTACTTTATCTAAGTTTGCTTCTTCATTGGGACATCTTGCAAAATCCTACCTCTTCACCAAAGCCAGTGAGGTTCTGATAGTAGCAAAAATGAAGGAATTCACAATACGGAACGAAGGCTAAAGAATCACTGCTACCCATGAGGAAAAGAAAAAAAGCCAAAGAGAAGCCGAGATACATTAGAGACTGTGATAGAAAAAGAAAAAAATAAGACCTCTCTTGTATTCTCCAGCCACAGTGGTTTTAAAATCAAAATTCAACAAGTTTTCTTGTAGGAATAACACCCATTTTCCTCTTATTTGTTTTACTGATCCCAAATCCTTAAGTGTCCTGTCTATGTCTGATTTAATACCATCTTTTGTGTCTGTCAAGTGTTTAAGGGATGAAGTTATTTACGTGGCTGTGTTCTTTAATCAAAATCAAAGCTGTTGCTAGCTCTTCATTATTGCAAGAAGTTGTACATTTTCAGAAGTGTGAAATGAGCTCATTGTATTAAACTGACTGTTGTTGGACAAAACTGGGAACTGATAAACTGCAGTGAAATCATTAGGAACACTCTGTGCCCAGGGAGCTTGAGAGCTCTATTAGCTTAAGAAATAGCTTTTGAAATGTTTTTATTAGACCTTGGGGAGCTGTATGAAATCCCTCTAGACAGCTTGGTGAAACACCGGTAATTAGTAAGTGGGTTTTTTTAATCCAAGACATAATTGTTTTGTCTTGTGGTATTTTAGGACTGGGGGGCTGATTTTCCTGTTATCAAGGGGGTTGTCATGGTACAGAATGAATAACTTCCTTTCCAGAGGGAGGGGAGGAATGGGTTATTTTGTGTGGTTTAAAAACTGCCTTACTGGCAAGGAACATATTAATAAATGGATTGTTTGGAATGCACTGTGACTCTTTCAGCTGTGGTGTGGGTTCAGGAAGGCTCAGCCCCTTCCACGGAAGCTCTGAAGGGCATTGAACCTCCAAATGCTGGAGGAGCTCTGCACACCCTCAGGAATTAATGGTGATGATTGTTTGTTGTCTTTCCATCGTGACAGGCATATGAAAGAAGGTTTCCTACGTGCCCTCTGATCCCCATGTTTGTAGCCAGTGACACTGTAAACGAGTACAAGAGTGAGGATGGGGCCATCCACGTGATTGAGCGGCGCTGCAAGCTGGACATCGATGCACCACGGCTGCTGAAAAAGGTGATGAGCCTTGAAGTGCCTGGTTTGTGCTTCTGGATATCCCTTCACCTGAATACTGTGCTGTCTTGGTTTGAACAGACAGGTGTCTGCTAAGGAAGGGCAGGAGCCTCTCCTGAAATGGAAAATGTAAACCCCCTCCCACTGAATTACTATAATTTTGAAATTAAGGGGCTCTCAGGCAAAGATATGGCTGTAGAAATAACAGTTATTTACTAGGAAAATTAAAAAACTGCAAATGTAATAGTACAAACAGAAAGAACTACTGCCAGAGTCAGAGCAGGAGCTGAGCCCTGTGTGTCAGGGGTGCCCCAGCTCTGACAGAGGGGGACAGATAGGAACAGAATACCCCTATTTCCAACCTAGGACATGTACCTTTACAGAATCTGTGTCTCTTCCCCAGATTGCAGGAGTGGACTACGTCTACTTTGTCCAGAAGAATTCCCTGAACAGGCGAGAAAGGACTCTGCATATAGAAGCCTACAATGAAACCTTCTCTAACAGAGTCATCATTAATGAGCACTGCTCCTACACAGTGAGTAACAACAGGCCCTTGCTGGGGCTGCAGATGGAGCCAAGGCACTGTGCAGATCCCAGGACTCAAACAGAGCTTGGGTTGTTCCTGGCTTTTGCCTTGCAAGAAAATATAAGCAACATGTGGGAAATGAATTTGTAGAGAATGTATGCATCTGTATGCAAACCTTGAGATAAGAAATGCTGACTTAGAAATGCCATGGAATAAGACAGACATTGTTGAGAGAGAAATGGAACTAGAAACAAGTTTCAAAGGATGGCCTTGCAAATAAGACTGGATACTTCAGAGAAATAGCACTATGAAAGATGCATTGTAGTAGGACCCAAAAAGGGTAATTTTAGAGGTTTGGCTTTAAAGCATTTACAGCATTGTGTGGCAAAAGCTAATAGGCCAAGAAATGCTTATAATGCATCATAATTAAGAAATAGTTGGCTTCTGATTGTAATGGCATGAATTATAACATTTGTATTGTCTCACCCATCACTTGAGACTGAAAATAGAATAAAAGTTTTAAAAACACCTCTCAGTTACTCCATCTCCGGGTCAGAGAAGAGCTTAATCCAGCACCAGCACACTGCCCTGAGTGATAATTGTTAGTCTTAAATGTAATACACTTGCCTCAAAAACTGAGACATGTTTGGCACCCTCTTGCTTGAGCATCTTCTCAGAGAACAGAACACAACATAATTTGCTGTGTTTGACAGCTCTGTTTAGGCAAATCTGCTTTGTAGCAGCAGTGTGGGACTTGTTGAGGCTGTTGACACCCTGACAGAACTGCCAGAGGAAAGTTCAGCTGATTTGCCTTCTGCTCAGCTCACACAGGAGTTCACTGAGTCAGCTATGTGTTTTAACCTACCTTTTTTCATTGTTCTTGGTCTTCAGTGCAAATGTTGATGCAGAGGAGTCTGGTGGCAGGCCTGCTGCTCTGCTCTGGTCATGGTTTATTTCTGAATGGCTCAGCCCACCCTCATGGGCTCTTACAGCATGTACTGTAGCAGTAGAACTTCAAATTGGTGTTAAAGGTCAGATCAGAGCTAACAAATGTGACTGATTTATCTGCATTGTAGCACTCTTTCTAGGTCATAACATTTTCTGTTGTATTTAACCTGTGGTTAAAAGATCACTGGGTTCCAAACCCACTTGACACTATTATCTAGTATTTTTATAATTATTTCTGCTGTAACTTCCAGGGTAAATTTAAGAATACTCTTCCACTTAGCTGCAGTTTTTATGTGAAAGCTCTCTTTAAACAGGGGAAATGCTGTACAGAAAAGTGCATGTGGTAAATATGTACAAAACACAGCACTTCTCTATGCCCATTTGCTCTACTCAATTGAGAAATTAGGTAAATAAAAAACCTGGTTTTCAATGGAAGAATAAATTGTTTCTAAAAGTTCATTTTTATTAAAGGTGACTTATAACTGAATTTATGAAAATACAGGGAGAGTCTTAAATGATGTTATTATGAGTTGTACTTACTGAGGCTGTACAAGCTATTCTGGTACCTCTCATTCCCTAATGCAGAAACAGAAATTAAAGGTAAAAGAGTTTGGGTTTTTTTTCTGCAATTGTCTCCTCATAAAGTGTTGATCCTGTTCTTAGCCAAATTTAGCATGTTTTGAGGGGGAAGGGAACCCTAAGGCATCAGGCAAGTTACATGCTCAGAAATCCAGCCTTTTGTGGTGTTTTTTAATGACAAATTCAGAGCCCAGCCTAGAAATTGCTTGAACAAATCTCAATGGAAGAATAAATTGTTTCTAAAAGTTCATTTTTATTAAAGGTGACTTATAACTGAATTTATGAAAATACAGGGAGAGTCTTAAATGATGTTATTATGAGTTGTACTTACTGAGGCTGTACAAGCTATTCTGGTACCTCTCATTCCCTAATGCAGAAACAGAAATTGAAGGTAAAAGGGTTTGGTTTTTTTTTTTTTCTGCAATTGTCTCCTCATAAAGTTTTGATCCTGTTCTTAGCCAAATTTAGCATGTTTTGAGGGGGAAGGGAACCCTAAGGCATCAGGCAAGTTACATGCTCAGAAATCCAGCCTTTTGTGGTGTTTTTTAATGACAAATTCAGAGCCCAGCCTAGAAATTGCTTGAACAAATCTATTTCAGGTGAAGAGAGTTTCAAGAACAGCTTTTTTGTGACAGTATCAGCATCAGTCATTGAATTGTTTAGGTTGGAAATGCCCTTTAAAATTGAGTCCAACTAAAAGTCTGTTTCAGGATCATGTCAGTAAAGCGAGAGATAAGCTAAGAGGGAAGGTGTCAGCTGAGTGAGGAGTGTGCACTTCTGTCTGTGGCATTATCATGGGAGAGGAAACATTAACAGTTTTCATTCTACAGAATGCTAAAGTGCCTCCTAGGTCAGTGTGGGAACAGTGTTTTGGCTGTCCCTTGGAAATGTTGGGAGTGCTGCCCCTGCCCTTGCTGCAGGGCTCAGCCTGGCCCTAGGCTGTCAGCCAGAGCAGAGTTCCCTGTGGAGGCTTTCACCCTGTTCCACACACACCCTGCAGTGCCAGCCCTTATCTAGACTGAGGGGATGTAGAAATGTGCACTCCTCTGCTCTTGGCTGGTGCACTTGTGTTTCTCCACCCTCCCCTCTCTTATTTAGACCCAAAAAAAAGGGCTGTGGGACCAAAAGCTTCTCAGCTTTTTGTCCTTTGGTGTTGCCTCTTCCCAACTGTGAAGCAAATTCCACTTGAATGTTTTTGACTGTGTGAACCTGTAAAACAACAAACATTTCAAATATTGTGAGGGAGGAAAAAAACCCTAAATGGATAACTGAGCTGTATGATCTTCTGACTTGCAGGTTCATCCTGACAATGAAGATTGGACCTGTTTTGAGCAGTCAGCAAGTCTGGATATCAAATCTTTTTTTGGTTTTGAAAGCACAGTGGAAAAGATTGCCATGAAGCAATACACCAGCAATATTAAAAAGGTGAGCCTGCAGTTGGGAAGGATGTGCCTGGCTCCAAGTTACCAAAAGACAATGAGGCTGCTGCTCTGCTCAGAAACCTGGGCTGCTTTGCTAAGGGCCTGGGGCACTGTGTCTGTGTAGGGCTGTTTCAACTGAAATCTTTAGAGGTCTGATCACTTAATTTTCAGCCCAATCCTTTCTGTGTCTAAATGTGTGGGTTTTTCAGTAGCTGAAGTAAATTTTCTTTTTTTTTGAAGGGAAAAGAAATAATAGAGTACTACCTGAAGCAGCTGGAGGAAGAAGGAATAACCTTTGTCCCTCGCTGGACCCCTCCTGTTGCATGTAAATCAGAGAGCAGCACATGCCACCCAAGGAGACCAGTGTCACCTGCCATTAATATCCCAGAGTCTGCCACAAAGGAGGGCTTGAGCAACAAGGAGATCCTCAACACCTCCAGCAGCCCCTCGGAGCCCACCGCAGGAACGCCCGATGGTATGGGGGTCTGATGTTTCACTGGGAAGCTTTGTACTGGAGAGGCCCTCAGCACTGGGCACTTCTGGGCAGCTGAGGAGCTCCACATTGCTCCTGAGTTGGGGACATGCAATGTTCAAGTGTGGGCTCACCAAGCAGTGACACATGGCAGGGCTCAGGCTGTTACGGGCTTGGCTCGTGAGTAGAGATCAGGTATGAGCAGAAAAACTCTTTGCTGTTCATTGGGTTGCAAATGGAAGTCTGCTCTTATCCTGAAATTCAGGGGTGGGTGTAACTATAGGAATGATGGGGAGGAAACAGCTGAAACTTCCCTAGATAGTCTTCTGGGAATTTGGGGAAATTCTTGCACCAGAGGATCAAAACTTCTCTGAGTATTTCTAGAAGCACCAAGCCCTGTGGTGCTGTGGATTGATGAATCTGAGTAGACTGGCAAAATGCTTTTAACAAATGTCTGCTTTTGGTCCTTCCTTAGCTGCAGAGGCAGAATTTTATCTTCTTCATGAAGATGACTGTGTAGCCTTGCTCATCCTTTCATTGATTCAAAGGAACCTTATTCAGTTCTGACTGCGCCGAACACAGCAGCCACTGTGAGACAGCAGCAAATCAGATCACGTGGTGCTTGGTCAGGTCAGGACCACTCTGATCACCTGCAATCTCTTTGTAGATAAGCTGGATGCAGACTACATCAAGAGGTACCTGGGGGACCTGACCCCGATGCAGGAGAGCTGCCTCATCCGCCTGCGGCAGTGGCTCCAGGAGACGCACAAAGGCAAGGTGAGTTCCTGGGGTGTCCCCTGGCTCAGAGAGTGTGACACACAAGGTGGGCCTGAGGAAATGCCCTGCCACACCCCCTGGGGCTGACTCTTTCTGCTAAGTGGCTCTCCATGATCAAAACCTAAATTTAAGCAGTGGCAATCAGAGGAGTTCATTGTGACTGTCCAGCTGACTTTGCAGCTGCGGTGCTTCAATAATTAGCTTGAAAGCCTCTCAGACTGTTAGTTAAATTGCCACAGGGGAGTAGCATCAGTTTTATAAGGCTTCCTGGTTTCTACAATGACCTTATTTTTATATTTGTTTGTTTTGGCCAAACATCATAGTGTTAAATACTGAAACACTGGTAGGAGTGGAGCACTGATAGCAAGGCTGGGGTTTTTCCAGTGCCTTGTGATTTGCATTTGTGTCTCAGCTTCCTCTAACCTAACAATAAAACACAATCTGTGTTCTGTCCTGATTTATTTAAATTGGACTGACGTGGTATGGTCATACAGGTGGAAATGATTACATTAGAGTGCATGAAATTTTTATATCCCTTATGAAGGTAGCTGCAGTGACTGACAGGGCTCGTGATTTTGTTTCAAACAAAGGCTGATTTTCTTGAGTAACTCCCAGCGTTACACACCATCCTCATGCATTGGTGTATGGCTGCACATTTTTCAGCATCTAATGTTTGGGTTTCTGTTCTTGTTTCAAACCTTGAATACAAAATTTGATTTGGTTTTGTTAATAGATCCCAAAGGATGAGCACATTTTAAGATTCCTGCGTGCTCGGGACTTCAACATTGACAAAGCAAGAGAGATCCTTTGCCAGTCACTGACGTGGCGTAAGCAGCACCAGGTGGATTATATTCTGGACACCTGGAATCCTCCCCAAGTGCTCCAGGATTACTATGCAGGAGGCTGGCATCACCATGACAAAGGTATGGTTTCAGTACAAAATATGTATTGAACAGCCTTTTTACCTTTTCAATCAAAGGTGATAGTTGTCCCTCTGTTAACTAGAGGTGGCTGGTTGGAACTTCTAGAGACACTTAAGTTGATAGAATGTTTTGAGTTGAAAGGAAATTTAAAATAATCTTGTTCCATCTTCCTGCCATGGGCAGGGACACCTTCCACTAGACCAGGTTGCTCAGAGCCCTGTCCAACCTGGCCTTGAGCACTTTCAGGGGCATCCACAGCTCCTTTGGGCATGAGTTGTACTTACTGGGGACAGAGTAAAGCTATTCTGGTACCTCTCATTCCCTAATGCAGAAACAGAAATTAAAGGTAAAAGAGTTTGGGTTTTTTTTCTGCAATTGTCTCCTCATAAAGTGTTGATCCTGTTCTTAGCCAAATTTAGCATGTTTTGAGGGGGAAGGGAACCCTAAGGCATCAGGCAAGTTACATGCTCAGAAATCCAGCCTTTTGTGGTGTTTTTTAATGACAAATTCAGAGCCCAGCCTAGAAATTGCTTGAACAAATCTATTTCAGCTGAAGAGAGTTTAAAGAACAGCTTTTTTGTAACAGTATCAGCATCAGTCATAGAATTGTTTAGGTTGGAAATGCCCTTTAAAATTGAGTCCAACTAAAAGTCTGTTTCAGGATCATGTCAGTAAAGCGAGAGATAAGCTAAGAGGGAAGGTGTCAGCTGAGTGAGGAGTGTGCACTTCTGTCTGTGGCATTATCATGGGAGAGGAAACATTAACAGTTTTCATTCTGCAGAATGCTAAAGTACCTCCTAGGTCAGTGTGGGAACAGTGTTTTGGCTGTCCCTTGGAAATGTTGGGAGTGCTGCCCCTGCCCTTGCTGCAGGGCTCAGCCTGGCCCTGGGCTGTCAGCCAGAGCAGAGTTCCCTGTGGAGGCTTTCACCCTGTTCCACACACACCCTGCAGTGCCAGCCCTTATCTAGACTGAGGGGATGTAGAAATGTGCCCTCCTCTGCTCTTGGCTGGTGCACTTGTGTTTCTCCACCCTCCCCTCTCTTATTTAGACCCAAAAAAAAGGGCTGTGGGACCAAAAGCTTCTCAGCTTTTTGTCCTTTGGTGTTGCCTCTTCCCAACTGTGAAGCAAATTCCACTTGAATGTTTTTGACTGTGTGAACCTGTAAAACAACAAACATTTCAAATATTGTGAGGGAGGGAAAAAACCCTAAATGGATAACTGAGCTGTATGATCTTCTGACTTGCAGGTTCATCCTGACAATGAAGATTGGACCTGTTTTGAGCAGTCAGCAAGTCTGGATATCAAATCTTTTTTTGGTTTTGAAAGCACAGTGGAAAAGATTGCCATGAAGCAATACACCAGCAATATTAAAAAGGTGAGCCTGCAGTTGGGAAGGATGTGCCTGGCTCCAAGTTACCAAAAGACAATGAGGCTGCTGCTCTGCTCAGAAACCTGGGCTGCTTTGCTAAGGGCCTGGGGCACTGTGTCTGTGTAGGGCTGTTTCAACTGAAATCTTTAGAGGTCTGATCACTTAATTTTCAGCCCAATCCTTTCTGTGTCTAAATGTGTGGGTTTTTCAGTAGCTGAAGTAAATTTTCTTTTTTTTGAAGGGAAAAGAAATAATAGAGTACTACCTGAAGCAGCTGGAGGAAGAAGGAATAACCTTTGTCCCTCGCTGGACCCCTCCTGTTGCATGTAAATCAGAGAGCAGCACATGCCACCCAAGGAGACCAGTGTCACCTGCCATTAATATCCCAGAGTCTGCCACAAAGGAGGGCTTGAGCAACAAGGAGATCCTCAACACCTCCAGCAGCCCCTCGGAGCCCACCGCAGGAACGCCCGATGGTATGGGGGTCTGATGTTTCACTGGGAAGCTTTGTACTGGAGAGGCCCTCAGCACTGGGCACTTCTGGGCAGCTGAGGAGCTCCACATTGCTCCTGAGTTGGGGACATGCAATGTTCAAGTGTGGGCTCACCAAGCAGTGACACATGGCAGGGCTCAGGCTGTTACGGGCTTGGCTCGTGAGTAGAGATCAGGTATGAGCAGAAAAACTCTTTGCTGTTCATTGGGTTGCAAATGGAAGTCTGCTCTTATCCTGAAATTCAGGGGTGGGTGTAACTATAGGAATGATGGGGAGGAAACAGCTGAAACTTCCCTAGATAGTCTTCTGGGAATTTGGGGAAATTCTTGCACCAGAGGATCAAAACTTCTCTGAGTATTTCTAGAAGCACCAAGCCCTGTGGTGCTGTGGATTGATGAATCTGAGTAGACTGGCAAAATGCTTTTAACAAATGTCTGCTTTTGGTCCTTCCTTAGCTGCAGAGGCAGAATTTTATCTTCTTCATGAAGATGACTGTGTAGCCTTGCTCATCCTTTCATTGATTCAAAGGAACCTTATTCAGTTCTGACTGCGCCGAACACAGCAGCCACTGTGAGACAGCAGCAAATCAGATCACGTGGTGCTTGGTCAGGTCAGGACCACTCTGATCACCTGCAATCTCTTTGTAGATAAGCTGGATGCAGACTACATCAAGAGGTACCTGGGGGACCTGACCCCGATGCAGGAGAGCTGCCTCATCCGCCTGCGGCAGTGGCTCCAGGAGACGCACAAAGGCAAGGTGAGTTCCTGGGGTGTCCCCTGGCTCAGAGAGTGTGACACACAAGGTGGGCCTGAGGAAATGCCCTGCCACACCCCCTGGGGCTGACTCTTTCTGCTAAGTGGCTCTCCATGATCAAAACCTAAATTTAAGCAGTGGCAATCAGAGGAGTTCATTGTGACTGTCCAGCTGACTTTGCAGCTGCGGTGCTTCAATAATTAGCTTGAAAGCCTCTCAGACTGTTAGTTAAATTGCCACAGGGGAGTAGCATCAGTTTTATAAGGCTTCCTGGTTTCTACAATGACCTTATTTTTATATTTGTTTGTTTTGGCCAAACATCATAGTGTTAAATACTGAAACACTGGTAGGAGTGGAGCACTGATAGCAAGGCTGGGGTTTTTCCAGTGCCTTGTGATTTGCATTTGTGTCTCAGCTTCCTCTAACCTAACAATAAAACACAATCTGTGTTCTGTCCTGATTTATTTAAATTGGACTGACGTGGTATGGTCATACAGGTGGAAATGATTACATTAGAGTGCATGAAATTTTTATATCCCTTATGAAGGTAGCTGCAGTGACTGACAGGGCTCGTGATTTTGTTTCAAACAAAGGCTGATTTTCTTGAGTAACTCCCAGCGTTACACACCATCCTCATGCATTGGTGTATGGCTGCACATTTTTCAGCATCTAATGTTTGGGTTTCTGTTCTTGTTTCAAACCTTGAATACAAAATTTGATTTGGTTTTGTTAATAGATCCCAAAGGATGAGCACATTTTAAGATTCCTGCGTGCTCGGGACTTCAACATTGACAAAGCAAGAGAGATCCTTTGCCAGTCACTGACGTGGCGTAAGCAGCACCAGGTGGATTATATTCTGGACACCTGGAATCCTCCCCAAGTGCTCCAGGATTACTATGCAGGAGGCTGGCATCACCATGACAAAGGTATGGTTTCAGTACAAAATATGTATTGAACAGCCTTTTTACCTTTCCAATCAAAGGTGATAGTTGTCCCTCTGTTAACTAGAGGTGGCTGGTTGGAACTTCTAGAGACACTTAAATTGATAGAATGTTTTGAGTTGAAAGGAAATTTAAAATAATCTTGTTCCATCTTCCTGCCATGGGCAGGGACACCTTCCACTAGACCAGGTTGCTCAGAGCCCTGTCCAACCTGGCCTTGAGCACTTTCAGGGGCATCCACAGCTCCTTTGGGCAGCCTGTTCTACTGCCTTGCCAGCCCTTAGCTGCTGGAGGCAGAGTCCTGGATCAGAGTCTTTCTGACTAATACTGACGTACTTAAATCTGCTTTGCCAAGAGCTTAAAAAAAGTGATTAATTGCACTTCTCTAGTGCTCTGAGATGCTTAGAAGGGTGTTAGGCAAATGCTGAGTGTGCTCTTTCAGTGATTAAAAGGTGTTTGTAAATAAGTATGTCTTCGTAATCAATTTATTTCTGATGTTGCATAAGTCTGCTGATGGCATAAATGAATATTTATTTGGTATTACAATCAGCTTAATGAAGAGAAGTGGAATGTTGCAAAAACATCAAATAGAGCAGGTTTGTTTAAGAAGAGAAGCAGCTTTGGCTGAATTCCCTTTGTGCTGTGAGCCGCAGCCTGACACACTCCCCTGTCCCTCTGCTTTATCGTGCACTGATCTCGTTGTTAATACGTACATAGAAATGAAACACGTTGGAATCTGTGGCTTGAGGCAAGCTGGGCTCTTCAGATAAGGAAATGATCTCTTACTGTGAGCGATCTGTGCTCTGATTGAGTCTTTTCCCACCAGGCACCATTGTTTCTGCTCAGCTCTTCCTTTTCCAAGCAGCATATGAAACAGGGCAGGATGCTGTCAGCAGTAGTGGCCAGGAGACAGGGAGAACACAGCAGAAGTTTAATCACAGAGCTTGAATGGCTCTTCCCTGCTGCTCTGGGTTTTACAGACCTCAAACTGAGAAAATGGAAAATGAGAATGTGCTTGTAAAGATTGTAGGGAAAAAGACCTGTTAATAAGTTCTCCCTTTCAGCCTGTTCCTTGTCTGTCCTTTGCAAAGACTTCCTCTATCAATTGCACACAACTGGGTCCTGCCAGTGAGCAGAAAGGTGCAGAATGCATCAAAGGCTTGTTTAATGTTCTTCTGAGAAGTTCTGCAGTCTTGTGGTGAACTTCATGCCCCCTCCCTTCCCTTGCAGTTCCTTTGATCTCTCTTGCAGCATGCCCACAAGTAAAGCATGGCTTTGTCAATAATGGAAACACCATTTCAGAACTGAGCGGTTCTCTATAATTTAAAACTTTACAGTGGTAGGTTCTTTTTTTAAACCCTCTTTTCTAGTATTGCTCCTTTCCTCCTACATGTGCTAAATGTGCCAAACTTAAGCTGGCTCAGTGCTGTGGGGCTTTTAGTGCTACAGCAAGGGCAGCAGAGATAATGAAGCATGTTGTCTAGAATGAGTTATCAGTGCTAAAGAAAAGAAGTTATTATTTTGGCTTGCAATTAGCACAGATTTCTATACATCTGAATGGCTTTTATTTTGACAGGAATGCTTCAATCTAATGTCTTTTTAAAACCACAAAGCTCTAATGGAATATAAATTGCACAGTGATAACAGAGCACTGTCAGCTGAGATTCTCCTTCATGTGTCATTTGGGTGGACCAGAGTTACTGAGCTGTTAGTTTGGGTTTGGAGGCATCTGTGTCAGGGAGGGAGGGAGGGAGTGAGACCTGCTATGAAGCTTAATAGCAGTTTTTGTTTAGTGTTTCAAAAGCTAAACAGTACATTCCAAGATAAGTGTGCTGATGTTAAAATAACATTTTCTTTTAGTCCACCTGATAAAACACTGTGAACTTTCATGGGGGCAGTGTCTTTGTCAAATAAATAACTGGCCTTGACTCTGCAGTTTTGGTTGTTTGTTGTTTTTTTTTAATAGTGGGTTTTTTGCAGTTTCTCTCCTTGTGTCCCAAAGGACTTAATGATAATTTAATAACCTCTCTTGCAGCTGTTGGATGGGAGTGAAGCTGCACAGACAACAAGACTTGAGGGAGATTTTTATGTAGAAAGCTTCCTCTTTTTCTTCTTTTTATATTGTTTGCTAACATATTCCCTTTTATAAGCTGGTGATTATTTAGCCTGTATATTAGAATAGATGAAGCAAAGCCTAACAAGTGCATCACAACTTTAGAGGGAGGCTGGGAGCTGTTTTGTACAACTAAGAGCCAAAAATGCCAACTTTGATTCTCAATTTCAGCCAACACAGTAATTCACCTTAATGCCTGAGTATCCTGCCAGTGTCAGACTGCCCCAGTGTGCTGACTGTGGAGAGGCAGGGCCCTAATGCAGAAGGTCCAGCTGAAGCTGATCTCTGGAGCAGAGTCTGTTCTCACCAGGCTTAACCTGCATTAGCAGGGCTGTGTGCCAGTTCTGCACAGTGTGCAGTGACAGAGCTGGAGTGTGGCTCCATCCAGCAGACTCTGCAGAGGGCAGGCTCTGGGTGAACACTTGGTTTCGTTAATTCCCAGATGTCAGGATGGCTGTTTTTTCCGGAAATGTTGCTGTAAACTCTCCAGAGCACTACTGCATCACGTGTGATAAAAGCCTTAGAGCCTTCCTTGCAGCTCTGCAGTGACAGGAAAGCTTCAATTCATTGGTGTACCTGAGCTGTCCTGGAAGCTAAGAATAGTCTGTGTCATTAATTGTGTATACCAAGGTCTGCAGTGTACTGATGTACTCAAAGTCCTTTGAACTTTCCATGAAGGTCAGGGAGCTATTTCTGAATCAGGATATGATCATTTTGCAGCTCATTTACAGATAATCTGTTGGTGTGGCTGCACAGGGTGATGTTTATGTTGCAGTCTGCTCTTGATTCTTCCTCATACAGGGGAGGTTCAACTGTTATGGTTTGTTTCCACGTGAATTTTTTAGCAGCAGCTCTCTCAAATGTCTCCTGCTGTGTGGTTTGTTCTCTGTGCAGACGGGCGCCCGCTGTACGTGCTGAGGCTGGGCCAGATGGACACCAAGGGCCTGGTGCGAGCGCTGGGCGAGGAGGCCTTGCTGCGCTACGTGAGTGTTCCTGAAACAACAGCAGCCCTGCACTTAGAAACCCCCTGGCTGTGCTCGTTATGCTTCCCTTGGGGCTCTTTCTCTTCTGCTCCCTTCGTCTGCAGAGCAGTGCAGCCTAATTCCCAAGTCTGGGGAGAAGATTTTACAGGCACTGGGCATTGGTGGAGGCTGCCAAAAAATCAGGCTGTGATAGTGTCATGGGTAACATTTCCATCAGGTTTTGGTTGGAATACCTCTGAAAGCCCCTGGTAGCTGTTCCTGGTGCCTTCTTCAGGCTGATGGAAAGGTGGAGTTCCTGGCAGCTCCTGTGATTATTGATTGACATTTGCACAGATTCTTCTGCACTTGTGCAGGGCTTCAGACTCCAGTCTCTGCTCTTGTACAGAAGGGAAAATGCCACACTCAGCATTTTGTCAAGTCTGTACTCCAGGGATAAGAATCATGTATTTTTAAAGAAAAAGTGCTTGCCTGTACTTCTGCCTTCTCCAAAGGCATCACTCAGACTGTTACTGTGGCTCTGCTCAGCTTCCAAGCAGAAAGCTGGCACAATTCCAGGTTTGCACTAACTTTTTTTGACTCCTAGTAATGACAGGAGTAGCCATAGTGACTATTAAAAACAGGGAGTGGGTTTTATTTTTCTCTCCTAATAGTGTTTTCTAGCAGACACTAACTTTTGTTGGCTTGCCCTAGTTCTGTTTCAAGGTTACTTTCTCTGATTTCAAAAGGGGCTTTAATTTCTGAGTAATTAAGGGTATTTGTAGTGATTTCTAATGAATTCTTTGGTGGGGGGGAAAGTTTATGCTGGTTTGATCTTGTAGTTTCAATTAATCTTAGGGTATAAACATATTTTTTTATCCTATCTACTGAATTTAAGACTGTCTTTTCTAACCCCACTCTTTTTTGTGCAGGTTCTTTCAATAAATGAGGAAGGGCTGAGGCGATGTGAGGAGAATACAAAAGTATTTGGCAGGCCAATAAGGTAAAGTCTGCTCTGTGGGAATGAGCTGCTTTCATGGGGTGTTGGGGGGAATGCCAGGCAGTGGAACAAGCAGAGGGTAGGCTGTGTCTCACATGCAGGTACAATCATACAGTTAATTAAGGGCCTCCCCAATTAGTGGAGCTAGAAGGAATGTGCCTGGGGAAGCCTGAGAGACACACATCACCCGGCCCTGCAGCCTTGGTCTTGTGCTCATAATGCTTCTCTTGGGGCTGTTTCTCTTCTGCTCCCTTCTATTGCTGGGTATCTGCAGAGCAGTGCAGCCTAACTCCCAAATCTGTTTGTGGGGGAGGTTTTACAGGCACTGGGCATTGGTGCAGTCTGCCAAAAAATCAGGCCATGATGGTGTCATGAGTAACAGTTCCAGTAGTTTAAGGTGTGGCTTCCATGGTCACTTGTTCATCCATGAGTCCAAGGCTCAGTACACTCAGCTCTGGTTTGCATTCTCCATTTATTATGTGTGGCTACTCAGCTGTTGATCCAAGGTGAGGTCATGAGGCTCCTGTAAAACCTGGGATCTAGTTTTCCAGATTCTGGCATGACTTCAAGTGAAGTTCAGTCAAAAGTGGTTTTCTAGCCCATCTTGAAGTCATTGTAGGGGTCACTTGTGAAAGTGGGAACTGCAAAATGGATTTAAGGGCATGGAATGGAGGCAGAACCAGCCCTGAAAAGATGCCATGTTTCTTGAACTCTCTCCAGTTTCCTTCCCCTAATCTGTAAGGTCCAGGGGTGTGGGGTGTGCCTGCTTATCATTTCCCTGTTACAGACCTTCCTGGCCAAGCTCCCCAAGGGAGGTCAAATCCAAAGGAGAGGTCTCGTGTGTGTAACAGTTGAATGGTGCTGCCTGCTGGATCTCCATTTGTAGCCATAATCCTAAAGGGCTCTGTATTAAACATTTAAAGTGAAACAAAGAAGGGTTTGGTGTTTCATAGAAGCCTTATGCATAATGTAATGGCTGCTGGCTGCTGCAGCACAGCTGTAAATCTTGAATTCCTGCCCAGGGCAAGACCTGAACTTGGAAAGAAACTGAAACACATGCTGCAGCTCAGTGGTTAGTATTAAGAACATATCTCTTCCTATAGAAAAAGCTTCCTTCCCTGAGATCTGACAACAGAATTAGCTTTGACGTGTATTGGCACTTGTGCAGTAGAAAATCTGCTCTGTGAATGTCAAATTGCCTCAGAGCAGGATTGTGGCCACTTAAATGATCTCCCAGTAAAAGCAATGGTTTAATCTTTGGGCTGACTGTTGACAGGATCTTTTTTTGGCTTCATAGGAACTGAACTTTTATCTGGAATCTAAAATGTCTGTGGGGGAGTGTGCAGGGTGATCACTGCACACCCCTTAAACTCCAGTGTCTACAGGCAGCACAAAGGAGGTGAAACAGAAGAAACCAAAACATTTCAGTGTGTTGGGCACTTGCATAAGCAAAGAGAATTTTGATGTTATTGAGATTTTTCTTTTTATCTCTCTCAAATTCAGCTCTTGGACCTGTCTAGTGGATCTGGAAGGCTTGAACATGAGGCATTTATGGAGACCTGGTGTCAAGGCCTTGCTGAGAATCATCGAGGTGGTTGAAGCTAACTACCCTGAGACCTTGGGTCGTCTGCTTATCCTAAGAGCACCTCGAGTTTTCCCAGTTCTCTGGACACTGGTATGTGTGTAATCCAAGGTTTTCCTCAGTTCTTTCAGTTTCTAAAAGCACTTCAGAGATCAGGCTGCAGCAAATATTGCCATTTGGAAGCATGTCCTTTCCATAGGATTCCTGGAGTGGATTAAAAACCACCACCTAAGAACCTGATTACACAGATGGTTAATTTGGCTTCTTTGTGGTGGGAACTTGGCATAATCAGGATGGTGATGCTCAGTGTGATCAAAACTGATTCCTTCAGAACTGACTTGAAAACAATGTAAATTGACTTGAGAAAAACGTGAGGGCCTGATGTGTTCTGTTTTTCTTCCTTTGTAGGTTAGTCCATTCATTGATGACAACACCAGAAAGAAATTCCTTATTTATGCTGGAAATGACTACCAGGGTCCTGGGGGACTGCTGGATTACATAGATAAAGAAATTATCCCTGATTTCCTTGGTGGAGAGTGCATGGTATGAATATAAACTATTGCATATAACAACTTATTTGTGGTTTTTTTATTATTATTTTTTCTCTCCTCTAAGCAAAGAAGTCTGTAAGCACAGAGTGATTCCTGGTGTAGTTTGGAGGTGGGGGCTTTGATGCAGGATGCCAGGCTCAGTGCTGTTTTCTGGATCCTTTAAAAAGAACAGTACAATGCTTCTCTTGGATAAGTATCTTGATCCAATACCTTATCAAAACAGCCAAGCACAGCTAAAAGCCACAGTCTGTTCCCTGGAAAGTTCAGGCAAACATGGTAGCAGAGTTCAGAGCAAGAGCTGTCACCAGCTGATCCAGAGGGTCTGTGTCACCTTAAAATCTGATCCCAAAGGAGCCCAAGGAACATGAGGCACGTCTGCTAAGAGAGCTCAGCAAACAGCCCAGTCTCCCCACACAGAGTGTGCAGTTACCCCAACAAAGCAGAAAAGTGGTTTTTTACTGCAGGATGCTGTAATTTCTCAGTCCCTTGTCACGTGCCTGTGACAATGCAGCTGTTTCCTGCCTGGACCTTGGGTGTCAGTTGGACCTGACATTTAACATCTCACTGATAATGTAAGGTTTGTTTCACGTGTAATGCTTTTGACAACACAGGCTGGCTGGGTTCTCAGCCCCTGTACACTAGATTAATTTCTGTACCATTCTTGAAAATTCAGCTGTGTGTTCTCAGCCCCTGTACACTCTCTGCATTAATTTCTGTACCATTCTTGAAAATTCAGCTGTGTCAGTTCTAATAGAGTCTCAAATGATAATGAAGTACAGTTAGATGTGTTGGAGTAGAGCATGTGTTTATCTCCAGTGGGCTGGTTTTTGTTGCAGCAGTAGCTTTCAGTGTTATCTAATTTGGAGCTTAAAGCTGGCAAAATCCACTGCTTAAATAAGCAAAAGTGAATGTTACCAGAAAACAAATTGCTACAATACTTCCTGCTAGTTACAGGCAGTGGCAGTCTCTCTCTTCTTCTTTACTTCTGGGTATTTGAACAAAAATGACTTCTCTGAGATCTTTTCAATTCTCTGTTGTAATTCTGTTACCAAACACTTCTAGTTCCCCAGACACTTCTGTGGAACCTCCTGTGAACTTCATTGCTACAGGCTTCTTAAAACAGAAGTTTGCTTAGGGAAGTTGTGTAATCACTTCCACCACTGAGCTGTCAGACAGCTGTAACTTCAAAACTGTTAATTTTCCTGGCTGCAGGATATTTTTACCTGCTTGGAAACTTTTTGTATCTCTCCACTATCTATCCTTAAATTTAGCTACCACCATTCCTTCAGGTCACTGTAGCTCTATTTTTCACACTTAGTCACTGTTGCCAGTTCCCTCAGGATTCTGAAGTGCCTCCCATCTTTCTTCAGTGTAAGGTGGTGTAAAATATAATTGCAGCCTTTGCACAGTCCCTTTCTGGGGTGCTGGCTGTTGTGTATGTACAAGATCTGTTCCCCTCCCCTGGTGTGCAATTCTGCAAACACCTCACCCAGATAATTTGAAAAAGAATTACCTATGTATCATGTACAAGCTATAAAATTACTTTCAAACTCTTCCCTTCCCCAGAGTATTGCTGAGTGTTTGTTCTGAAGCTGGAAGGCAGAGAACATGATGGGATGGTCACAGGAGATAATTCTTAATGTTTTTTTTTTGTTTTAGTGTGAAGTACCAGAGGGTGGGCTGGTTCCCAAGTCCCTCTACCGGACAGCAGAAGAGTTGGAAAATGAAGACATCAAGCTTTGGACTGAAACAATCTACCAGTCTGCAAGTGTCTTCAAAGGGGCCCCCCATGAGGTACAGCTCCAGCTGCCCTTTGCTTTCATTTTCACCTCAGCCCTCTGCTCTGAGCTCGGTCTCTTGGCCTGGGAATGCTTTATTGCCTGTTTATTTAGCTCCTGTGCTTCCACCTTCTGGAGCTGGTGCACAGTGATGCTTTAATAGCTGAAGTTTGTGATTGTTCCTTCTGTTATTTTGTTGCCTTTTAGAGAATATCACTGGTTTTCATTCTATTCAAAGCCATATTCTTCTAAGCAAAGCAAGCAAACTCTCAGAAGCTGCTTGAAAGCTTCTGAAAGTAAGAAGGATAGACACCCCATCAGGGGGGAATTTGCATCTGCAATGCCTTTTTGTTGGACTATTAAAAAGCCTTTTTAAGAGTAGAAACTAAGCCCAGCAACAAAAAAGCTCTGTTCTTTGTCTGTTCTGTAGGAGTTTGCTTTTAGTGAGCAAATTGCTGTTGTCTGATGTTTCTCTCCTGCCTCAGGTTCTCATCCAGATCGTGGACGCCTCGTCGGTGATCACGTGGGATTTTGACGTGTGCAAGGGCGACATTGTTTTTAACATCTTCCATTCCAAAAGAGCCCCACAGCCTCCCAAAAAGGACTCTCTGGGAGCTCACAGCATTACATCTCCTGGTGGGAACAACGTCCAGTTGATAGACAAAGTCTGGCAGTTGGGGCGTGACTACAGCATGGTGGAGTCTCCCCTGATCTGCAAAGAAGGGGAGAGTGTGCAGGTGAGGCAGGCAGAGCCCCTGTGGGGGCTGATGGAGCCCAAAGTGCCTGTTCTTACAGCACTGACAGCTCAGTGCTGGTGACTCAGTGCTGGCCTTGCTTTTGGCCAGCATTTAGCTGCTCTTCCAGGCTGGGTGCTGCAGGGAGCAGGGGTGGGATTTATGTTGGATCTGCTGGGAGGGGAAGTTGCATCAGGTCTGCTAGGGACTGAGATGGATCAGCAAGGAACATGGGGAGGAACACCTAAAATGCACATCCAGAAAGTAACAAAACATGCCTTGTGCTGTAATTCTGACGGTTATTTACTGAAGCAAATATTCTGTGTTTGAGGAATATCACAGTGCCTGCCCTCAGTAATAAGAGAAGGCTGGAAATCAAGTCTGAGCCTCTGTGTTTGCCCTCTAATGGGCAGTGTAAGAGCTCCTGATGGCCAAAGCTCCTGAAGGATTTTTTTGTGCCATTTGCAACCTGTCCTTTAATTCCAAGTTTAATATAGCATGCAGCATGTTTATAGTCACACTGCTGTTCCTGTTGACTTGAAATGAGTCAAACAGCCTCTGAAAAAGCAGCTCCTTAAGTCACCAAGATGGAAATGTTAAACTGGAAATATGGGCAGTGACCTCTTAAACTGTGTGGCAGAAGCCTTGACTGCTCTTTTCACAGCCTCAAAGGACAGCTGTGAATGAATATAAATTGAAAAATGGATATTGTTTTAAAGCAGAACTTGTCCTTTCAGCATATTAAATCCTAACCCCTCGACACTGTGCTGGTGTTCCATCCCAGATTTGATAAGGATGTTGTGTGGGGAGAGTCTCCCAGCACTGCCATTTGGCTGAGGAGCTGAAATGTTGGCATTGGGCAAAAATTCTGGGCATGTAGGCACTTTGTCTAGGCTTAGAAAAGTAAATCAAGCCTACAAATCTCTGTTAACCGAGTTAATTTTTGATTTTTGTTGTGTCTGCTTGCAGGGCTCCCATGTGACCAGGTGGCCTGGCTTCTACATTTTACAGTGGAAATTCCACAGCATGCCTGCCTGTGCTACAACCAACCTGCCTCGTGTGGATGATGTGCTGGCATCTCTACAGGTGTCCTCTCACAAATGTAAAGTGATGTACTATACAGAAGTGATAGGATCTGAAGATTTCAGGTATGTCTGGCCAAAGGCAGCCAGTGTCAAACCTTTCAGACTATTTGGATGATCAGGTCAATGTCAGCTTCACTTAAACACAAGTAAATTGTGAGAGCCTTAAAAAATTGCACTGAGGGCAACTAATGTGTAAAAGGGGTTAATTACTTGTCTGGTGGCAATATCACTGGTCACTTGGCTCTGCTCTGAGAGCTTGTTGGGCTTGGCAGGTTGTCCTGTAGAAGGGAGTGCAATTCAAATTCCAGTTGCTGAATTTAATTTTCTGCCAGTGGATAAACTTCACTGAAATTAAATCTCTGTCTCTTTGAACAGCATCTGGTTTTTGAAAGAGGTGCAGTGTCCTCATTGCTTTATGTGGTAAGGCAGAAAAGCTTTTGAGTATCTGCACCAAAGCTGTTACTTGCTTTTTATTCAGTGTGCAAACAAATTCAGTATAGATACAGAGCAGAAATCAAAATCTTTGTATGTTCTGAAGCTTAAAACTGCCTTCTTTTTTTCTTTCTTTTTTTTTTTTTTTTTTTCTGTAGGGGATCTATGACCAGCCTTGAATCAAGCCACAGTGGATTCTCCCAGCTCAGTGCTGCCACCACCTCCTCTAGCCAGTCCCATTCCAGCTCCATGATTTCCAGGTAGTGCCACAACAGCTGAAAAGCAAATGGATGTGATGGCTGGACCCTCTCCCGTGGCAGCTGACTGCAATACAGCATATTCAACTGGCAATTGTGCAAAAAAACCCTCACCCCAAAAAGCCTTTTATAGATAGTAAAGTAGCTGTTTGAATTTTACACTTAGTGGTTTTGATCTTTGTTAGATCCAACAGCTTGTCTCTTAACTTTAACCCTTTTTCCTAAATCAGCCATAAATATTTTTGCAAGTGTGCTTGCACAAATCCTAACTCTGAACACAAGGGCTCTTACTGAAAAGGAAAAACAACCAGTGCATCAGTTAAGAATGATTTCTTTTTTTAACTGTGTAGATGTTAAAAAGGGAAAAAGAAAAACCCTACCAAAAATGCTCCGTAGTGCATTAGAGATCAACTGCACGTCTCCTGTCAGGACATTCCTTGCCATCCTGAGAAATCCCCTGTGATATTCCAGTGCTGCAAACTGTTCTCCTGTTGCCACTAATGATGTCCAAGACAAAGAACAGCAGTTGCTGGATACTTGACTTTGTGAGTCCATTTTTTTCAAAGCATGCCCACAGAGCTGTGGCCAGGCTGTAACACTGAATATACCTTTTGTATGAGCACATTTCTGGGGAATTTGAGCTCTGGGTCTTGCTGGGTTAAAGCAATTTGTTCTTTCCTTGGATTTGTGCATGGAGCACTGTGGAGAGAGAGGTGGAGAGCAGGCTCTCCCTCACTGTGTCACACTGGGCTCATCCAGAGCTGCTCTGAGCTGTTCCCAGCCCTGTGCTGGAGCTTCACTCTGCTTCCCTAGTGCATTCCAAGCAAATGGATTTTACTGAGATTCTCTTCTTGTCAGGAACTTATGCAGAGCTTCAGCTTGCTGCTTAAAGCAGTCTGAAAGAGGTGTGGCTTCCATCCTTCCTGAGCACTTCTCCCTCCCTGGGGCCTCCTGTCCTTCCCTGTGCCTGGCAGAAATAGATCACCTCAGGTCTGGTCAGCCTCTCTGTGGGCAGGGAGCACAGGGATCTTCCCTCTGAGTGATACAGGAGAAGATATTTAAGGATTTTCTCCACCATTTTCACTGCTGCCACTGCCAGGGGTGATCTGCCATTTGGGATTCTGTCCCTTTGGCCAGGCCCAAGCTGAACTCTGTTCAGGTGTTCTTCCCTCTCCAGCCCTCTCTCTATGCACAGCAAAAGGCTCCAAAGACTGAACTGTCAGACAAACACAGACCACACCTGGCAGTGGAGCAGAGAAGATTTTGGTCTGGCACAGCAAAAGGCTCCAAAGACTGAACTGTCAGACAAACACAGACCACACCTGGCAGTGGAGCAGAGATTTTGGTCTGAAATGCCAACAGTATTTGCACAATTAGACCCTTCTTGATCTTTCCTTACCCTTGGTAGAGCTAAAATGTCCCTGCAGGCACAAGGAGCTCCTGTGCTGGCTGCAGTCCCTGCTGGGAAGTGGGATAGGGTCTGGCTTGGGTAGGTGGTGGAGGAGCTTCAGGAGGTGTTGCACTTGGATAGCAGGACTCACTCAAGATTCTGGATCCCCTGCCTGAGGAATGCTGGTTCTGGACTCAGTGTGAAGCTTTTTTATGCCTGCAGAGCTCTGGAGAGGCAGGTGACAGACCCCTGCTGCAGCCCTGTTCTGGCTGTGGCACGTGCCAGAGCTGACAGGTATTTTAGTAGCAGAGGTGCTCAGAGACCACCCTCCTTAAACTGAACCAAATGGATCTTAGAAGCTGCAGATGGAGGTCAGGCTGTTACTTAGGCTGCCAGAGGGACACATGTCACTGCTTTGGTGTCACACAGCTCCCACCCAGTGTCTGCACAGGCTGTGGCTCCAGGGCTGCTCCCAGGAGCTCTGCCCAAATTCCTGACCCCAGGAACCAGGCTTCCCAGCACAGGGAGTGCAGTTGGAGCACAGTGAGGTTCACCTGCTGACGCTCATGACACTCACTCTTCCCATTCACCAGGCTGTAAGGGCTGAAGATGGTCCCTTTCTCTCTCTCTCTCTCTGTCTCTCTCTCTCTCAGATGGCGATTTTGTTGACAGCTGCTCCATTCAACACTCCACATCTGTCCAGGTGTCTGCCTTTGTAGACCTTTTTGAGTTGCAGTCCCTTTTCAAGTCTGAAGATCTATATTTTTGTTTTTCACTTGAGCTGGCTCAAAAGTGGCACTTTGGGTTTTTCCTGCTTTTGATCTTAACACATCATTTAGAGCTCAAAGCACATTACAGCACAAACAAGCAGGGAGGAAAAATTCCAGAAAAACAATAGTTAATCTTCCTGTAAGCAAAGTGCTGTGGCAATATGACTTGATCACTGCAGTCTGACTAAATTTCCCATCCCCTGGTCTTTCTTTGTGTGATACTGCTCTTCCTTCTCTCAGCCAGTGACTCTTCTGTTGGCACCTTCCTGTTATCAGTGTCCTTCACTTCCCTGTCCCTCCTCATGAACTGCATATCAAATTCTGTAAATGTTTTGTATACATAATACCTCATTCTTGGTAATAAAATACAGATAGTCTTTAAAAGATTTTTTTATTGTTATCAATAAATGTTAATTGTTTGGAAAAAAAGCAGGGGGAAGTGTCTTTATTTCATTCATCTGCTGCAAAGCTGCTGGGTTATTTTAGGTGCTGGATGCAGATCTGCCAGTGCTGGGTGAGGGAGGGGCTCCTTGGCTGCCCCCACCACTGCCACCTCAGGCAGGAGGCCCAGACAGTCACACTCAGGAAATGATGGTTTTTAATTAGTAGAAGCAGAATAAGCTTCAGCTATTTTAGAAACAGGAGCCAATAAATGTCAAACTGTGGGTTTTCTAATTCCTGGAACTGGAGCAGAGGCTGCAGCATGTAGCCATGTTTATGCTTGGTCTTTCAAATTTGATCCAAGCTGTGAAGTTTCTCTAAATGAGACTCTTTGACCATGGTCAGGGAGGTGTGTCACCAAGAGCAGATGGCTGCCTGACCTACTTCAAGCTTTAGCATGTAGTCAATATTTCTATGCCAGCACGTAGTAATGGAGCAGCTCTCAGCTGCTCAGGAGCTTGCTGGGTGCAGCAGTGCTTGAGAAGGTGTTGTGCAAGGAGGTGGCTTTGCTGCTCCTGGGATCTGATGGAATGCTCTAGAATCTGGTGGAACACTCTGGGATCTGGTGGAACGCTCTGGGATCCGGTGGAATGCTCTGGGATCCAGTGGAATGCTCTGGGATCCAGTGGAACCCTCTGGGATCCCTCCCCACCCGTCCCCAGCCGTGTGCCATGGGCAGTGGCACAGGTTCAGTGGGGTTTGGGGGAGCTGCTTGCACAGCTTGGTGTCACTGCTCCGTGTCCCCCAGGGGAAGGGCCTGGAGGTGGGACTGCCAAGGCCTGCAGGACAAGTGCCACCATGCCAGGAGGGGTGGCTGGGACTGCTGCCACCGTGCCAGGAGGGGTGGCTGGGACTCTGCCCTCACACCAGTGCCCTGCTGGTCCCAGTGTGGCACGGCTCTGGTGGCCACCACTGGGGCTGGGCTGCTCCAGTCCTGGGCAGCAGCTCCAGCCACTGCTCACCAAATCCTGCCTCATTCCAGGTGTTCTCCAGCTTACATACACTTAACAAAGCGTGATCTTAAGTCATTAACTACATCACAACAACTTATTATATTCATTGGTGCAAAGCAATTAGCGTCAATATAATTGGCAAAAGTTTTACAGAAATTTCACAAGGCACGAATACACATCTACTTATGCACGCAGCCTAGCTTACAAAAATGTTCATGTATCTTTTCTAATCTGTTTTCATGCTGACAGCCTTGTCTTCTTCCTTGCTATGGATAGACTCACAAATCATCGTTGTTTCTTCTGTTCACTCAGCTTTGCTTGCAGGCCAGCTCTCAAGCCCCTCCATAGCCATCAGGGCTCTGTTCTGCACAAACCCCCCAGGTGAGCAGAGCCCCCCGTACCCCAGTTCCTGCCTGAGGCTCCCCCCTGCCCCCTTCCCTGGCACCGGGGCACGCATTCTGCGCCCTCTGGAGCGGCAGCCAGCCCGGCTTGTGAGCCAGAGGATTGCCAAACACACCTGGCTGTGCCAGGTCACCCCGCACGGCTGGCGCTGTCACACGGAGCCGGGACAAAGCCTCGCCTTTGTTTGCTGCTGCTTGGGCATCGCGGCGGGCTGGCAGCTCGGGAGCATGAGCTCACCCTAGGCTGGGTTTGTCTTCGTGCTAAACCCTTCCTGGAGATGTCAGCTGCCAGAACGTGTCATTTCTGCTTCACGGCGCTGCCTCAGCGCCGCACGGCTGTGACACAGTGACAAACAGCAGCATCCTTGGAGCTCGGTCTGGACGGCTCTCCTCTGAAACAAGCTGGGCTGGGCTGGGCTGAGCCAGCCACGGAGACTCTGCAGGGGCTGGGGCTGCCCGTGGAGGTGGCCGTGGTGAGAGGGACCGGCTATGAGCTTTCCTGACACAGCCCCGGTCACCGGGACGTGCTCCCGAGCTCAAAAGCAAGGCTTGGGCTGTCCCAGCTCGGTGTCAGACCCGGCAAGTGCGGCGGGACCCGGCTCTGCCGCCCTCCCGGGATGCTGCCTGTCCCCCTCCACATCCCGGGATGCTCCATGCCCAGTTCCACATCCCGGGATACTCCATGCCCAGTTCCACATCCTGGGATGCTCCATGCCCAGTTCCACATCCCGGGATGCTCCATGCCCAGTTCCACATCCCGGGATGCTCTTTGCCTTCCTCCACATCCCAGGATGCTCCCTGTCCCGCTCTCTACATCCCAGGATACTTATTCTCACATCCACATCCCGGGGTGCTCCCTGTCCCCATCCACACCCCGGGATGCTCCTTTTCACCTCCACATCCCGGGGTGCTCCCTGCCCTCCTGGGCTCCAGTGACATTTTTCAGCTTTGCTCTTTTATTTTTACCTGCAGAGAAGCTGCTCCAGGAGGGGACAACAGAGCAGTGCCTTGCCCTCCTTGCCTCAGTTTACCTTGTGAAAAAACAAACTTCAGCTCTCTGCCCATGCAGAGGTTTGCTGAGGTTTTTAGCAGCTCCCTGCAGCACTCGGCTGGAGGGATGGAGCTGAGAACTGGAGCTGTGGATTGATTATTGATTTTCCCTTCCCACATTCCTGCTGGGAGAGCAGAAGGAACTTGGCCAACG